AGCTATTTATTGAGTATTATTTGAGTATTTTGTTAAATTATATTTTTGCTTTATTTGAGTTATTCTTTGAGTATTACTTGAGTTAATAAATCTATATTTTGTCTATAAATTTTGTTGGTTATAACCTTTCTTTGTGAATGTTGCATTAGCAATAAGTCGACAATAATTTATTTTATCTAAAAACTATTTTATCATAAATTATACAAATACATTTCTTAACTACTTATACACTTAGTCAAGTATTGTAGCTAGTTAACTAAAGGTCTAACTTGTTACATTACAATATCTTTTCATAGAGAAGTGAAAAAGATATTTTATAGAATAGGTGAACAAACTTTACAAACTCTGCAACTCTGTTATTAAAAATTAATAATTTTTAATTATTAGTAAAGTTTATTAATATATATCACTAATAATATAGTTATATAACAATATACAGTATATCTTTATTAATTATTAATAATTATTAGAAAATTCATTAAATTTTATCAAACTTTAACATAGATTTTCTTGATAACTATCAATTAAAATTAGTTAAAATTTTTCCTATAAAATAGTATTAATATTTATCTATAATATATAAAAATTTTAGTTAATTATAATTACTAGTTCACAAGAAATCACTTGTATATAATAGTTAATTTTTTTAAAAAAATTAACTATTATATACAAGTGATTACTTGTGAACTAATAATTATAATTAGCTAAAATTTTTATATATTATGATTAAATACTAATACTATCTATAGGAAAAATTTTAACTAATTTCAATTGATAGTTATCAAGAAAATCTACATTAAAGTTAATAAAACTTACTAAATTTTTGCTATATTACATTATTTATTATTAATGTTTATACTTAGCAGAGGTAATATACTGTATATGGATTATAATCTAGATGATTATAATTGATATACTGTATACCCTAAAAAAAAATTCTCAATGCTATTGATTACAAAACATTGATTATCTAGATTGTTATTTTTGAAACATAATTTATATGTCTATTCCAAATGTATTCACATGTTTGTTGTGACAGATAAAAAGTAAATAATGTTTTTTTTTTTAATATTAATGGTAAGGCCAAAAGTAAATAATGTTAACTATTTTGATAAGTAAACAATATATTGATCTTTTAAAAGGAGTAAGCTAAATTGTCTACTTTTTTACAAAATTTTCTCTAAAAAAAAAAAAAACAAGAAGTCAACAAAATATATAAGGTTTTTTTATAAGTTTTATAGTAATATAAACAATTCTTCAAGCATCTGCTATTTCAATGAAAATTTTTTTAACTACTACTTGTTTTCAGAATATCTTTTGGTTTAGATACCAAATATTGTATCTTAGAAAGTCTGCCAAATAGAAACAAAAAACTTGACTCCAAAAAAAACTATTTAAATTACACCCATTCCTCAGTGTTTCACATCTAGGATGACTAGCATACTCAAAATTTTAAAACCTATTAGGCATGCCATTATTAGTAAAATTACATTTTAAATCTATTAAAATAATTTGATTGGCTAAAGAAAAAATAATATTGTAACATATATAAATATTTTGTTAATATTTATATAAAATATATTGTGGCATGCCTATATAGTGTGGCATAGTATAAATTTTGGCTAATGGCATGCCAAATTGTTTAGCCGTGCCAGTAACCCTAGCTGGGACACTGTCCGAACCCATCCCTGCCTACAGGTATTTTGTAAGTTTTTTTAGTATTAGACCCTGGGTCTTTTGAACATGTACAGTTATCTGGAAATTCTATTTTAAATAATGCAGGTAATAGATTTAGGGTATTCGACTAAGCCGATTTTTAAATACCAACTTAGTCGAGTCAATAGATTTAGATCGACTACTAACACTAGTTTGATAGATGAAATGTTAAGATACAGAGATTTAATTGGTCAACTTATTGACTCGTGGATAGAAATTCACTTTTCGCTCACGGTTAGAAATGAATATCTGCGTAATTCAGGCATAAATTCGTTTGATGAATAGGTTATCGATTAGGAAAGAATGAAGGGAAAAAAGTGTTGGCTATCAATACAATTTGCACTGGTCCTTGTTATGTAGTCAGGTTTGATCGTTAATATTTAGAGACTAGATGCTTGAACTGAGGTCAGTAATGAGTTAACATTATTTTTCGATCAGTTGATTTATAATCAACTCGCTCAAATTATCTGATATGAAGTTTTTTTTTTGCCAACGCTCCGAATTGGCAAGACTTTTATTTCACTGTTTCGGAGGTTTAAACCGGTAAAGTAAGGGCCCGAAGATTTGGACTCTCTACTAAGTTGTACACAATTAAAAAAAAATCGAAATTTACTCGATTGCAAGTCCACACCTAGATTCAAATTGAATTAGACACAGAATTCACCGTCCTTTTTTCCCTTTCTTTTTTGAAGAAGTTTGGATCTTTCCTGTTGTAGCTGTAGCGGGTGGTTCAGCAGCGCTGGCTACCGCTGATGCTGGATTAGTTTGTTCTAGTGTATGCGATTGTTGTGAGAGTGAAGCTGGTGTCGATGATGTTTGTGCTATTCAAATTATTATTTTAATAAGCAATCACGTAAATATTCTGAATAAATAGATTATTCACGAACTTTTTTACCTTCACCTTCGCTTGGCTCACTTCGATTCTGCATTTTCAACATCATTGATCGGTTCAAACGTTCAAATTTTTTCAAATCCGCTGCTTGATCTGTTTTATATTTGAATGCTTTGAAATTATCAGTGACCTTTAGAACCAATTTTCCTTGCGAATGCTTCCAGCTTGTTACATATCGGGTCTTTCGTTCCAAGATAAATTCACAAATTATTTTCATAAAAAGTTTTTGTCAAATATAAAAAAGTCATTGAAGGAAGAATTCATGAAAAATCTCAGATTTTGATATTTTACCTCTTTTGGTGAATCTAAATAAAGTTGTTCTACCGCTTGTTGATATTCGTTCCAATCATTAATGTATACCATTTGAGTATGAGTATTATCAAAGCAAATTCACCAATTATATATATATATATATATCATGCGTGCAAGTGGTACTATGCGGTGCTACAGTATCCAAAATTATTTTTATCAAAAATCGGCAACATTATCGAATCTTTCGTTTTGCTGTTAAAAAAAAAAAAAAAAAATGGCACCTGCTACTATTGGTATAGAGATGAGCGATGGAAAACTGGTAAAAAAACCAATCAGCTTTATTAATCTTGCTGTTGGAGCCGGTAAAGTATGCTTTACTTTTACATACTATGAAACAAAAGCATATACATATTATAATATATATTTATTAGAGTTTAAAAGTTTATACATCATACTGTTTCTTTTAGCATTAAACATGTTTGAAATATCAACACTTGGACAGCCTTTTGAAGTAATCAAAACTCATCTTGCTGCTAATCGAAAGGATAATCTTATAACGGCATTGAAAAAAACATATCAAAGAGGTGGTGTTCTAGGTTTTTATCAAGGATTAATACCGTGGGCATGGATCGAATCTAGTACTAAGGTAAAAGATATTTGTTTTGTCTTAATTCATCAAATGTTTCAAATGTTGATCTTTCTTGAAATAGGGTGCAGCTCTTATCTTTACCGCAAGTGAGATTGAATATCACACAAGGGTTATTGGTGCCTCACCTTTTATGGTTTGTATATGTTAAAAAATTTTTTTTATATTATTAAAGGAAAAAATTATTCATTATTTTTTTTGTCTTTTAGGCTGGTATTCTTGGTGGAATGGCTGGAGGTTTAGCACAAGCCTATACTACCATGGGTTTTTGTACTTTTATGAAAACTGTTGAAGTTACGCGTCACAAAGCTCCTGCCGGTGAACAGGTTTCGAGTCTTAAGATCGCTGCTGACATATGGAAAAAGGAAGGGATCCGAGGAATTAATAAAGGTGTCAACGCTGTTGCCTTGCGACAATGTACTAATTGGGCCAGTAGATTTGGTTTGACACGACTCGGTGAGACGACCATTAGAAGAATTCGAGATGGTGAAATACCTGACTATAGTCGACCATTATCACCACTTCAAAAAATTTTAGCTAGTGCTATTGGTGGTGGTTTGTCTTGCTGGAATCAGGTATGGAACTACTATTTTTTATTTACGCGTTAATTATTTAATAATTATATTTTATAATTACCAATTGAAAGCCAATTGAAGTTATTCGTGTTGAAATGCAATCTCAAGTGAAAACACCTGGCCGTCCTGAGAAAATGACAATTGCCTCAGCCGCAAAATTTATATATAAAAATAATGGACTTAAAGGGTTTTATCGTGGTGTAACGCCTAGAATTTGTCTTGGTATCTGGCAAACTATTTGCATGGTGTTTGGTGGTGATACTGTCAAGGTAATGATTAGCAAGCTTTTAGAAATATTTTTTTAAAAAAGAAATTTGACTAATCAACTTCAAACATATTCTAGGAAAAGATCGCAGCAATGCAGAAAGCAAAAATCTAGATATATTTTTATTTATTGTCTGAAGCAAAGCTAAAGACATTCTATTATAGAGGTAAGTAGTAAAAATCGTGTTTATTTCCATCAAACTGATTATCCGATGCATTTCAGCTGATCAGCAATGATCTCCGGATAAAATAATTATAAAACATCTGTTTAAATGGTACAACATTTATTAGTTTTTTTAATAGAAGTTTCCAATAATAATAATAAATTTGATTTGATTCTCCTACGTGTAAAAATGAATTCATGCCATGAAGGATAAATAATTATTCTACATGGTGGACGATTAACCCGTTAAATTGTTCAATAGTTCTGGTTATGTTGTAGTTGACTAAAGTTATCGGGAATGATATTGATGTTTGCTTAATTAAACGGCTACTACGGTTATTTCGAATAATTAATAATCCAAATAATTTAAACAGAATCAAATCCATAAAGGTAGGTAACTCAAGCCCATGTGAGAACCAGTTGTTTGCACATTGAATAAAATCTCAATAATAGCCAATATATCACTTAGAAATGCAACAACTTAACCACTTTACTAAGTTACTACACCCACTTTGAAAAAAATTTTTTAGCAATTGTCTGATAATATATTTAAAAAAATTTTCATTGAATTTTGTTAAGTAGTTGTCAAGAAATTTTCAGTTAAAGTTTAAAGAATTTCTATAGTGATTATTTTTTTTAGAAAACAGTGAGAATTTCTCCAAACTTTAAATGAAAATTTTATTTTTTTTTTTAATGTTGTTACAAAGTAGATTTTTAGTATAGATTTTATTAAACATTATTTAGTTATTTTTAGTTATTACTATTCAAGATATTTGCATTTTTATATAGTTAAAATATTAGATATATTTATTATATTATTATATATTAGTTTTATATATAAATTTTGCGGCTGAGGCAATTGTCATTTTCTCAGGACGGCCAGGTGTTTTCACTT